GGGGCGGGGCTAAGATTAATTTTGAATTATCGGCAGCTGCTAACACCCAAAGCACCGTTGTCTGATAATAAAGTACACAATAATACCCACTAATAATAATTAATAATAATAATTATGACTTGATATTGTGATTATAATATACTCTTTATCATTCTTCCTCTCTCTCTCTCTTTCTTGGAACTACTCGTGTTGTTTGCTTGTCTTATTGCTTTAATAACATTATTATTATTATTATTATTATTATTATTATTATTATTATTATTATTATTATTATTACTATTATTATTATTATTATTATTATTATTATTATTATTATTATTATTATTATTATTATTATTATTATTATTGTTATTATTATTATTATTATTATTATAATTGTTGCATTTCTCAAGAGGTTATATCCACTCATAGTGATATCCAGTGGAATGGATGAGTAGAAATTACTAGTAGTAAATGACAATGATACACAACCAGGTCATTCTACAGCTGGAGAGTAATTTTTATAAGAGAGAGACTGAGAAATAGATAGGAAGAGACAAGCTTCATAGATACATGTACATGCAGTTATGTGTACAGTCAGTTCCATTACCTGTACATGTACATGTACTTCATTCTGTTGATATTCTATTATTGGAATACTTTAATGCTGTAGCTACCATAACTAATTAATGACATCATCATAAAATCATAGTGACTGTGATATCATAATAGTATCTACCATTGGGTGGAACTAATCTTAGCTCTAGATATGAATATTGTGAACACATACATGTAAATGTAATGTACATATTTTTAAATGGAACTTCCACCCACTACTGCAGTGAATCATTATGTGTGCTTTGTTAAAGGTTAGTTAGTGTAGTGTTTGTACTGTAGACAAGATTCTGTCAACATTTCCAAGATGTCTTTCCTTTTATGGAAGTATATTTGGACTCTATTCAGGAAATATCAATATACACTGACTACTTGTGACAGGAACTGCTTCCTTAGTCACCAGCATTGTGCTAAATAGCATCCATTAATAACTTGAAGAAACAAAGAACACATTACAAGTATGGATACAAATTCTTAGGCAGCACTGCTGCAGAGTAATATGTTGCAAAAATAAAAAAATTGGGCCGAAATAGTATCATTTTAAGTCAGAATATAAATCACAGAACATTTAAATATTTTAGCAGCTAAACTGATGTCATTCTACAATGTATTATAATAACTATACTATGTCCCAACTGAGAATGGACCGGAAGTGAAAGCAGCTGCATTGGAATTTGAAAAATGTAGCTACGTCACTAATGACGTTTATAATGATATTCATAGAGACATGGCCGATATTTTGGCTATCTTGTTTCACTCTTAAAACAGTCCTGTTCTTCCTGATAAGCAGTACAATAGCTGCTGGAGTCAACTAGTCTTCATAAAGGCCATCATTATCAGAAGATCTCGCTCTATTAGCTTTTTAAAAGAAGAATTATCAGTTTGGGCGCTCGACCACATGTGCTTATGTAAACTATGACATCATAGAACGTCATTGCGGTTAGCTTTGGTATGCCATTGGGTTTATAGGGAGAACTCGGTTCTCAGGGTTCCCAGGGGCTGAGAGACCCAAGACCTGAGATCCTGAAGCGGCATTGGGCGACTAAGAACCTGTGAAAATCTCATTCTTATCCCACATTCCTATAAAAAGTTATTCCAGTTTTTCTTGGTCCAAACTCAGTTGGGACATAGTATAGTTAAACTTCCAAAACATTCCAGTGCATAAATAAATGAAAATAATACATGTATACCAGCAGTATATTAATAGAAAAATAGCAACCACTAAAAATAATTCAAATGCTCATTTTAAAATTGATACATTATTGAAGTTCTTTTCTTGATCCTATTATTCAGTAATAATAATCATAATGTATCAATTAATAATCTCACTTATATAAGTAGCAGCTGTTGTCTCTCCTACTTTACCAACGGCAATAGCTAGTCTGTCCCATGTTGCTTCAAAGCCACCTTTCAGCCATGATGCTAAACATTCTCTAAGGCATTGGTCAGGATCTCTATTGTATCTAGTCTCAATTGTCTTGAGATCATTGTAAAACAGACCCAAGTGGAGACCAAGATCAATCCATTTAGTAGTTTGAAAGTGACCATCTTTTAACACTTCCAATATCTCTGCTAGATTCCTGATACTCAGTAAAACTATTTAAATAAATTAGTGAGTGCAAGTGCTTCATTATGTGTACCTTTTTGTTGATCATCATTGGACTCATTGATCTGTGTAATTGAAGAGTGACTGGCCTCATTTGCTGATTTAGTCTTTGGAACTGCACAAAAAAATATGAAACAACACTTGTAGAAACCAGCATATACTTACTAGTATCATCATCATTAGCATCTTTCAATGCTGGTTGAGTCTAAAATTATAATAATGCAAAGCTCATGTATTAATTTTATATACATGTACCTCTTTCTCTAAATTTTTTCTTTCTTCCTTGAACCACAGTGACTCCTTGATGGTTAAGGAACGAGGAATTCTTTCCATTTTACAGTAAACAGGATCAGAGCATGTCTTTTCAGCGCCAATGTCTTGAATGTAATGGATG